AAAACTGTTTACCATAACCTAAAAAAATATGACCTGAATAAAACCAAAGCATTTAACTACCTCCAACCTATAACATGTCCACAACATGCCCTATAGGTTATAAATTGTAAGTCGCTTTGGATAAAAGCGTCTGCTAAATGAATAAACATAAACATAAACTTAGCACTTAAGCAAATTACAACGTTTTACTTCACTAAACTTGCATATTTTATTTTATTTGAACTTTATTACATGTTTTTACTAACTTAAATAATATAACTTATATGAACTCTAAATGGACCTATTAAACCCTAACCCAAATAAGCTGAATTTACTTAAAAGTGACAATGGCAGGCTGGTGAAGGCAGTAACTAACACCAGATCATGACTCACACACCCCTAGATGCTAACAGCCAATGAAAGTAGGACAGTCAAAGTCAAGTCAAGAGTATCTGGTGTGAACAACCACAGTAGTAATAACAATGGGGCGGCACAGCACAGCATTACTTTGACCAACTTCCTCACTTATGGGGCCAACATGATACAGAAAGTAACACCACATATGCAACACTGAATGAAATAATAACTGAGAACAACAATCCTCCACAATGAACATACATAAACACCCCAAAATAGAGCAAAATAACAGAAAATATGACTACCTACAATGCGCCACGCCCAGCAGTTGTTTATTGTTCCTGCAATCCATCATCATTGCTAGTTTGTGGTTGTTTTTCCTGGAAATCTACAACTTTAAAAAAAAAAGATACAAGTCTTTTTATCAGACACACTTTAGGGTTGAAGACGAATGGAATAACATAGAAACATAAAATAATAAATCAATCATTTTTTGTTAATATTACTCATTAAAGGTAAGTTTTATTGATTAATTAAAGTTATGCTTACTTAAAAAAAGAAATAATTCAGATTAATTAAAACGTTTGAGTTCTATGTACTTAAAACAAGGAAAAGGTTGAACAAGCTCAACACATTTGAGTTCTAAAAACATTTTTTTATATGAGTTTTATACTCAATATATTTGATTATTTTGAACTTTTGGGGTTACAGTATACACAAAAACAACTTCTGTAACTGGGTTTGTTGTTGCAATAAACAGTTACGTCCTGCCAGTAATCAGATCTCCGACCTGCAGGAATAATAAGCTGGCCAAAGAAGAAATACAGAACAAAGATGCTCAGACAAGGAAGCTCCTCACCATGCATGAAGGGTTTCATCACAAAACCAGCACTCTGAGACTGTACACTAGCTGTAAGGAAGGAGGCCAAGGACTAGTGAGTGTGATATACATACATACATACAATCATACATACATACATACATACATACATATACATACATACATACATACATACATACATACATACATATACATACATATACATACATACATACATACATACATATATATATATATATATAAACAGGAGAATATGTTGAAAACACAACAGTTGTGACTCATAAAGGTTTATTTATATCCGTTTATGAAACTTGTCCATCTGTTATAGTGAAAGGCATTATTTTTCTGATGTGTTGGATTTTATTTTTCTTTACGTTAAATGTATTTAGAAATCTGAAGACCTCAAAATTCTGGTTTTATGACCTAAAAAGGAGCTCTGACCCAAACTTTGGGAATCACTGTATAGTTTTTAGCTCATATATTACGTATTTCCTTGCACAAGTTGTTTATCTTTGGAACCTGATGTGAAAAATAAAACTGTCTTTCTTTTTTAACTTTAAAAAATCTTTTATAATCTTTGTTTTCTGTGAGTTGCAAGTTTGATGTTTGACTGTGTGGACTCCACTAGGTGGCACAAAAGACTCAATACATCTTTTCAGGAAAAATGGTAATCTTTTGCTTTTTTAAAAGTTTCAGTTTGATCAGTTTTGACAACAAAAGCAGGGTTGTTTAACGGTTTTACGGAAACTCCTTTCCTGTCACGAGCTGCTGTACAGAATTTACCGGTCAAGGCTGGCTGCTATCTGGCACTGAAGTAAAACAAACAAACAAACAAACAAACATCTGCTGTTGATTTCAATGGATGCATTCAGGAAAACCTCCGGGAGTCTTCCTGGACACCAGATCCATGTAAACAAATCCACCAGAGAAACATTTCTAAACGCCGGCTGAGATTAGATTCTGTCACGTCGCTGTCTCTCCTCTTTTCCGGCTGTTTATCTTTTGCGCAAAATCACAGCAAGCAAAATATTCTGTGACAGTTTTGTTGAATTAACTATTTTTTCAAGTGTAACTGACTTCATAAAAATTCAGCTTATTTTTTTGTACATTTTGCAAGGAGAACCAGGCTGAAAATGCCCAGACATGCAAGCCGAGCAGTTTTATATATCTGTGTGTGCCTCCTTCATCACACTTAAGCAATCAATTATTCACACATGGCAGTGACATCCTCTTTCTAGTGCATGCTTATCCACGAATTACTTTTTGTTCAGAAAAAAAAACCACATTAAAGACAGATTTTTTAAATTTAAAGTAAAAAAAAAAGAGTTTCAGTTTTGACATCATTTGTTCTGTAGCTAAACATCACGCATAATGACCAAAGATACATCTTGCATATTTGTGCAATAGCTTAGAGTGTTCCTTATTAGTGCATAATAAAATAATTGATCATTTAAATTAGTACCCTTTTATTTAATTATCACCTGCAGGACTGATTGTCCGTGTGCATTTAAGCACAACGGGGTGGATTTTTGTGCAGTTCTCGCAAAATAAACCACTTTACCAAGCTTAGTTCCACTTTATTTTTTATTATAAGGTTCATCCAGGTGACATTGCGCATGGAAACCTCATGTAAAATCTTGAGAGTCCAATGTGTCCCAGAATGACCCGCTCTGAATAAGTCATGACATCTTGTATGAATTATTCTGCAGCTGAAATGTACCAGAATATCTACATGTGTAAGGGCAGGCCGTGTGCTTGCTCACAATTCATCCTGGTGCTCAAAGATGACAGTTGTTGCTTGAATCGAACATTTAATCACAACGATTTATACAAGTGCAATGAAGCTAGTCGTGAGGGGATGAATGTGTATGTCCTTTGTATTCGTGCGTGTTTGTTGTTCATTTGAATGTTAAGATTGTTGAAAAATAAATGAGGAGATGCAAATTTTATGATGGCAAAAGCTTCATTTGAGAGAAAATACAACATAATTAACAAAATTACAAGAAAACGGAAACATTAATTATTTAAATTAGGCTAAATTTTCATTTATATTCTAAGTTGGATCTGTTGTTTTGAACACAACACCTGAAGATTATTAATTAGTCGTATAATTAAATGCTGCCGTGAGCCAACCATTGTCCTGTTCCTTTGTGATGCTCATCGTATGCTTTGATAGAAGATGCGTCTTCTGCAAAATAAAAACAAAACAAAACATTATAACCAGTTACAGAATCACCCGCAATCTGTCAGCAGTCAGAGGATGTGTTGTAAGTGACGTTCAGCTATTATGTAGCCCAGCATTATTAGTACAACTGGCAGAATAGTAGCAGGCTTTGTTGTTGTTGTTGTTGTTGTTGTTTTCAAAGGCCATTAGGCAATTTTAAAATGGGTCAACTCAAAAGTCATCGGTTGCACATCCTATTTGAAAGTGTCATTGAAATCCAGCTAATGATTCTCCAGAAGATTAGCTAACAGGCAGTGCTAACTCGTCATCTTAACACAGGCACTAAAGTGTGACCCTGGTGGGGTCCATTTTTTGCCCTCAGAGGGATTTTGTGCACCCCCAATGGCAATTAATAATGTAAAATTGTCTTTCCAGCAAAATGTTAATGCAGGTCAAAATTTGTAAAGATTTTTATGTTTTTGGGTTTTATTAATACGAGGCTAGTTTTGAGCAGTGTGGACAGAAAAATGTAGAATTTTTAAACAACAAAAAAAACTTTGTCTTGCTTGTGACGGCATTTAACTAGATCAGTGGCTCCCAACCTTTTTCCCTTGAGGACCCCCAACACCAACCCACATATGCAGTTATAACTTTTAAACACCCTAGGGGTGACAGTGGGAGGGGAGTTAAGTATTTTCCCTGCAATCAGAAGGTTGCAGGTTTAAGCCCCGCTCACACTGTTGCTGTCATTGTGTCTTTGGGCAAGATACCCAGTCCACCTTGCCTGCTGGTGGTGGTTGGAGGGACTGGTGGAACCTGTGCCTGACAGCCTCACCCCCGTCAGCACGCCCCATGGCAGCCTTAGCCACATTAGCTCGTCACCACCAGGGTGTGAATGTGTGCATGCGTGAATGAGTGATTGTGTTGTAAAGTGCCTTGAGGGGCTCTAGGACCTTAGAAGGCACAATATCAAATACAGGCCATTTACAATACAACATTTTGATTATGTTATCGGGATTGAATAAACTTCATTAACAGAAATAATCTTGAATGACCTCACAACTTCACCACAGACACGATTATGGGGAACCCCTGGAATCTTATGGGGGCCCCCGTGGGTGTAGTGAACCTCATTTTGGAAACCATTGCGCTAGATGATTTTGCCCCTTGTTCTAAAAGTATTAACACCTCTGTCCTAACTGCAGGGAGCTGGTATCTATCTTCAGATAGATACAGGGTCACAGGGTCAAACAAAGACACAACCAGTCACACACTCACACCTTGGGACAAACAATTTAGCATGTTTTGGGTCTGTGGGAGAAATCTCTTGCATGCATTAGGTGAACATGATAATTCTGTGCAGAAAGGCTGCAGATGAGATGCAAACCTGCAACCATCTCACTGAGAGGCAACAGTGCTAGCAGATGCACCACGATGCATCTGTGTAAACTCAGCTTTGTAGCCAAATACATACCACGATATGCTGCAGTCAGAATATAAGATAAAGATGCGTTTATGCTGACATCATACCATATTTTAGCTCACATCTGCACATAAATAAGCGAAAAATAAAAAGCACGAGGTAAGTTTTTCTCTACTAGTTAATGGGTGTGATCCCTTTCACCACCGGCAGGGAGCAGCAGCGAGCAGCTCTGGCGGGGTCAATGATACAGTTAACTCCTGGTCCCTGGAGGAGGTGCAGGAGGGAGACACACGCTCCTTGCACGCAGCGGAGGTAAAGCTGTTAATACCTGATTGTTGACCAACAGGAAGGAAAAGGAAAGTTGAATTTCGTGTTGGAAGGAGCGGAGCCGCCTGCGCGCGCTGCGCCGGGTCAGCCTCATTCTACCGGCGGGATGGGAACCGGAGTCAGGGCTTTACTTCCACACACCGGCTCGCTGGTTCCGTTAACGGGCAGGTAATTGTCACCTGAGGACAAAAGCTGCAGTTTGGGGACAGCCTTGACAGCTGGTGGATGTTGCGTCATGGAGATGAAGAAGAGGCTCCGAGTCATGCTGGTGATGTTGCTATGGATTATCCCAGGTAGGCTAATTAATTGGAGATTTCTGAAACTTTTTATATATCTATTAGAAATTAAAGAGTAAATGTGGCGAAATGTTTCTTTTTCCAGCTTTTCATTTGTTTTAAAGGCTTTGGTTGTCAAATCTGCTTCAGAATGAGGAAAAACAACACACTTTTGCTTTTAAACAACTCATTCCCTACACGGAGTTAATCTTTAATTATGACGAATGGAGTTTGACAAAAGCATGCGTTTGTGTGCTTCCAGGTTTTTCCATGTAAGTTGCTCTACTCCCCTGATGGGAGAATAAATGCATCACTTAAATTAAACCCCAGCCGGTTTTCATGTTGCTGACAGTTTGATCCTAAAACCAATTCTATGGAGACCCCTCTGCCTCCTCCCCTGCCCTGCAGCAGCAAGCGTGCTTACAATTCATGAAATCAGCTCTATGTAATTTTTATTGCTGCGAATTCCTCTGAGGCAGGCAGCCTGCATGTTTGTGTTTGTGTGTTTTAACAGAGGAGCCCTTTTAAGCTCACAGCAGAGCACTTCATCTTAATGTTGCTGCACGGCTGGATGCTCCAATGAATTTCAAAGAGGTCAAACATTGTTGCTTTTGTGTCCTTTGATGGCTGATGTTCTCTGCGAGGTTAAAATACTGCAGAAGTTCACCTGAAGGAAGGAGATGTCATCCATCCTGGCTCTAGAAGATCCTGCTCAAACTTGTGTGCATCAACACCAATTTTAAGGAAACAGACGCCAACGCTGCTTCATAAAAAGAAAAATGACATTTTAAATGTTTTTGTCGCCTCTGATTTCCTTTCCTCTCGTGGACGCTCCTAAAAGCCCCTCTGACTGATCCAATCATGTTCCTGTCAGCTCTGCTGCTGCACGCTTTGCTAACATATGTTGGCTTCTTCCTTATGACTCTTTCAGCTTCTGTTTTTTATTTTTACGTCAGAATAATTTTGTTCATATTGGCGAGTTGTTGCACAAATGCAGCAGCAGAAAACAACAGAAACTGAAGCCCTCTTCAGCTCACCCATCAGGCCTGAAATCAAAAAATAAAAATGGAAAACTGAGATAAAATCTGTGGCTTTAATAAGGGGCTTCTGCATGGGAGTCGCTGTGGCGTGTCATTTCATCTGTCACACTTTGATTTGTGCTAAGTGGAATGAAACGAATCAGCTCCGTTTGCTGCTCACTGAGGAGCAACTCCAGACGCTCCTGTTAACAAAAAGGCCTTCCTAATTTGGACTTTTGTTTTTCCTCCCATTCCTGTCAGTTTTCCCTGTCAGTAACATGTGAACTGAGCTTAAATGAGCAAAGTTGATGTAGCTTGTTTGATGAAACGACAGCAGGACGAGAGATCATTAAACTAGACTAAATCTGGGATTTGTTTCCATTCAGATGTTGAAATCCTTCGACTGTGTCAAGATGGCTCCACTTCGAAAAATACCTTTCTGTTTGACCCAACTGTTAGAAACACTGAGCAGTTTCCTGCTCCTCCACCCTACTGGTTGAAAGTGGAATTACAACTGTTGGCCTGCTGTAGCTAGTGCTAACAACGAGCTAACACTATCATGAGCCAACTAATACTAAAATAAACAATGTAGTAAAAAGATCCACTCTGTTGGACAAAAAATATCATTACTTACAAGTCCAGTAGCAACAAAGCCAGGTCACCATCAGTCAGTGATATTGTAGCCTCCTGCAGCTCCCTCAATCCAGTGTAGGCCGCTCCGGTGTTCACTCCGGTTTTAGCTCTTTGCTTCATTTCTGAGGAAATTACTCTCTTACTTTTTCTCCCAGGCTCCGCTAAGATGCTAACAAAAAAGCAAACTTCTTTTTCTTCTTCTATGCTTTTTGTTGACAAACTGAAAATGCTAACTGCTAGCATAATAGCCAGCAGTCGTAAAGCAGGTGAAGAGCTTCTCTTTGCACCTACTCATTCCACAAAACGAGCATTTTCTAGTCATCTTCAGGGTGAAGATGGTAAAGTTTCTACTCACACAGTCACTCACTTTTGAAGGAATAGCTTAAATGGTTAAAAACTGTTGTTACTTTAAAACACTTATCATGTCAGAAGCCGAGTGTGTTCACTCACGGCTGCTGGAGCCTCTTGGCTGTGGTGTAAAGCTGGTGTTTATGAGCCAACCCCTTTTGAGAGGAGAACGCTCACAGCTTAGGGTAATTCTGATTACGATTAGCTAAACAAGAAATTAGCCGGTCATGGTCCAGACTTTGAACAAATAGCGTTCCCTGCAGGCTGCCGCATAAAAATTAACAATCAGCGCAAAGCTTTGGCAGGTTTTAACAGCTGCCAGAGGAGAAAAATGAGTTTCAGCCCTCAAGATGTTTAGTTTTATGGAAATAAAGTTTCTGGGTTTGTTGACATTGACATTTGAAATTATAACAGTGCCAACACTCATAGTTGTATTAGTTGGACTGTTGGATCTAATGCACTTTGGAAAATGCTTTGTTTCTAACTATTTTAGCGTTAAATAGCAGATGAAATGACCCTGTGAGCATTAGAGCTGAGGAAAATAATCAAATAATCGATGCATCGGGATGCATCGGGATATCGAATCGAATTGAATCGTTGACCCAATAATCGTAATCAAATCGAATCGGGAGACAAGTGAAGATTCACACCTCTAGCGAGCATCGTCATTGTTGTGATGAGATTGCAGGATAAAGTTTTCTTTAAGTCCTTCATTATTAGTCATCGTTCAAGGTGTCTTCTTGGTGACGAGTCAATGTTCTGAATGAGTTGGACCTCAGCAACCTGCCTTTAAACCCATGGATGATGAGATGAGAGGTGACTTCTGTTGTACAAAAGTGAAGCAAAAGTATCTTTTAATATCGCAGCCAGGCTGTCCACTCAGGATGAAACTCTGTCCACAACAACCATGATGTGTGCCAAACATCGAGTAACTGATTACTAATTTAAAAAAATCCTCCACTCACTCAACCTTCTGAACTGAGTTGAGTGATGTTGAGCAGTAAAATATACCAGGTGATAGTAAAGTCTTCTCTGTGTGATAGCTCTTTAACCACCAGGTTCACTGATAAACCATTTTTACTTATTCTTTTTGAAAATGATCGGTCACTCTCATGGACGTGATTTTCACTTTAGAGGTGTGGTGGGGGTGGGGTGGGGTGGTGGGGGGGGGGGCTGCTATCTTGACAGTATGTTCTAATGGGAAACAGGCTTCAACACAAACGGTTGCTTTCCGCTTTGTCCTAGAGCTCAACCAGTGTCAATTTAATATAGTGTAATATTGTTTATGGATGGTAAAAAGTGCAGGGGTCAAAACTTGACTTTGGAAAAAGTGTGTGTGTGTGTGTGGGGGGGGGGATGTCCCCCCTGTCCCCCCCCAAATTACGTCCATGGTCACGCTGAGTTTTTCATGCAGGCTAAACGTGAACAAAATCTACACTTATCTCCTGCATTAGCCTCTGATTGAAACCAGACAGAAAACGTCTGGTTCAGAAAAGTCCGACAGATCTACGTCATGCTGTCACTTAACATTCATGGACACACGCGTCTTGACTCGCGACAGGTAAAGCAGTTGTTTTAACACCCAGGAAACAGCTAGTAGAAGGTAACAGCTGGCATTAGCAACTAAACCACACAGCAGAACTCCTTCAGGCATGTTATTTGTGGAGATAAAGCATCAGCTTTGCAAAGCAAACTGAGTCAGTGGTAGAGTTGTGTTGCTGTTAGCCAATCAGAGGCAAGATGTCAGGAGGTAAGACTCCAAATCCTGCCATCTGACGCTACTTTCTACATCCTCAAACAGGCGTACCGAACTTTGTTTCCCCAGAGAACGACTTACAAGGCATTCATTCCTACTAGAGACCACTGACAATGTATTCAAAATATGAAAAAACTTGATCTATAACAGAAATTTTCCTAAACTATGTTCATTTTTTTAACGCACCATTTAAGTTACATCACAATATACATTTTAGGCCATATCGCCAATTCCTAGGGTGGGGTTGCTACCACGATTTGTCCCAACCGTATGAAGTCGGGCCGAAAACGCAACGCCAGTTTTGGTCAACCATTGATCGGCTGGGGGGTGGAGTTTCCAGGCTCAGAGTCTAGAAAAACCCCATCACCACCATGTCTGCCATTGTTGTGTTGCGTTGTGTTTTAGATGCTCATTGTTGCATAAAACTCCTCCTGAGCAGTAACATCCTCCGAAACCCCGAATACTAATGAAATAAAAACATGTCTTTAAGCCTGTAGGCATGCTTTTCATTTGAAGTATATCTCCTGAGTCAGTCAGTCATGTGTGTAATTGTAGGAAGCACACAGTTCTTATTAGAGAAGTCTTTGTGTAGCGGTGGGGGTTAATAAAATAGGTCTTAACCTCACGAGACACTTTAAGATACTTAGTTTAAGTGGGGATAGCACAAAGGCAATTTGAACCATTTCAGTTTAAAGCTCATAATGTGTTTTTAAGTCTAGATAAGCCGGTTCTGGTGCGCTAATTCTCCATCAGAGTTGATCTTTTAGAGAGAAGACGCAGGAATTCGTGTTTCTGAAAGTGTAAACTCCATTCTGCAGGTTTTCTGTGGAAATGCTCGTCTGTCATGCAGCATTGTGTCTGACAGCAAATAACATAAAGCAGCCAGGAAGGATTGTGAGGATTTTATGATGCCAGTAAAAATGAAATATGCTTTTTCTTTATTTTGTTACAGGAGCTTCAGAAACAAGGTTCAAGTAGTGACCTGTTGGATGTAAATAAGCATTTATAACATGTATTTGTAGCAACGGAAGTGCCAGAGCATTTATTCCTTTACCATGTGGAGAAAGCATGGTAAAAGTGTGGCCGAGTGGCCATTTGCGGCCCTCGGAAAGATTTTTACAACACCTAATTGCATTTTTATTATAGTGGAAGTAGATAAACACATATTCACATTTTTAAATTCTGATTTATCCTAATTTGAGGCCTGCAAGGGCAGTTTTGGCCCTCATCCTGACTTGTTTGGACACAACTGATGTAGGTTT